GTTATATATATCATCTGTTGTATTTACTCTTGTAAATTGGACTGAAATTGAATTCGAGGATTCATATACAAACAACGATAACACATTGAGAACGAATACACACCGTACGTACCTTGAGAAGTATGATTGCCTTCAGGATTAGTTTGAGTTTGAGTTCCTCGGGCATGATGTCATAGGATGGGAACCAGCTAGTCAGCGACACGGAGTGGCCTTCGTAAGTCTGCAATTCAAATCGAAGGGCACACGTTGTTGTTATATAAGTCTAAATTAAACTTTATGAATGCATGCGTACCATGTGTACGGATGGCAAACACTTACTGCAGAAAAAAAAAGACTCGAGGACAAAACTCTACTGTGCAGATTTTTCAAATTTTTTGGAATTCTTTTATCGGCTTCCTTCTTTATTTATGTATCATTCTCCTCGCTGATGATTCTTATTTCTATTTGCTCTCTATGTTTATGTCTGTTACCTTGTAACGGGTCATTAGAGTGAATCCAAAGTCTTTAACAGTCAACCCATCAACTTTTTTTACCTTGAGGATGAGAAGCGCTTTCAGGATGAGTTCAAGTTTGAGATCGTCTTTCATCGGATCAGGAAACATCTCGTCTACTTCTGTCTCCTCTTCTGCCGTCATCTATCAATGAGACACACAATCATTATTTTCACAGAGAAACACCGTTAAGATGGATGTCTAAGCGTGAAAATAGTCTAAAAGAGATACGTTATGCTTTTTGGCTCCAGAATCACGGATGGTATTTAGGGTTACGAAACGCAGATAAGTGATGGGTGGTCTTGGAAGACGAGGGTAACTTACTCAGATCCTGTGTCAAAATTCAAAAGATTTTTTTCTTAAAAATTGGTCATTTCTGAAACCGTTTTGACTGTTGTAGGTCTTACAACAATTTAGACTTTGCAGCAAAGGACTTCCAAAACGCTCACACTTGAAACAACATCAGTTATACTCTAAATCTGTCTTTGTTTATTCTCTAGTCGATCTGGCGATTTTAAATCACAGAGAGCTGGCATAGAGTTATACAATCAAGCACACTTTTAGCAACTTTTGTAGATTTGACCGGGAAAGTTATTTAGGTGGTTGATAGTATGACCAGCGTTGAACAAAATAGAAGTCATTGCCTTTTTAGGTTGTTGCGAAATCATGAGAAGACAGAATAATCATAAACACTTCGTTTGATGGGAAAAGTCAGAATATTATAACCTCACCATATCCAGCATTTCCATCTCGTTATTGGTAGTCTGATCACCAGTCGTCATCTCGTTCACGTCACCTCGGCTGCTGATACTATAGGCCTGCGATAGGACCATCACGAATCCCAACACTACTACCAGCCCAAGAACAATTCGCCTCATAGTTGCCATCCCAACAAGATTGTATTCAACTTTGTACTTGGATTATTCTAAAAGGATTGCTTGATTGAAGAAAAGTTGCTCAAACGCTGCTGTTGAGAAGTTGCGGCGCTTAGTCGTCTTTCCAGTTGGAATGACTGGCTCGGTCCAAGTGCACTGGTTAAATAGCTTCTCAGCAGGATATCAGCAGCGCACCCAGCTACGCTCCCTCGAGTGATCTATACTTCCTTTAAAACTGCAAATAATGCGACTTTCCTTTCGACTGAATTCTTTTTGACGAACAGGTAGAGGGAACGTCCAAAGTCAACTTCATCGTGGGGGCAGCCGCCCTGTTGTCGATGTCAACCTCCTCCAAATATGAACTTGAATTGCGAGCGTCGCCAGGACTTTTTCGGGGGGGGGGGCGCAAACCAATCATAAGCAGTAAACTGGACAAACCATCGATGCTGGGAGGGGGTCAATTTGAGGTATTTTCGAGCAGATCGATGATTTTCCTTTCCAATAACCCCTGTTTTTTAATTATTTGGCTTTTTCTTTCTCTCTTTTTTTTCTATTTTTCAATGGGGGGGGGGCTTGCCCCCAGCACACACTGGCGGATCAAAGGGGCACGGAGCTCGTGCCTCCCCCCAAAAAGGAGCAAAATCTATTGTTTGGGAAAAGTGAAGAAAATTGGAAAGCGTGAAAAAGCATCCTAAAAAAAATAGACCAAAACGAGAAGTAGTAAGTGTCACGAGTCAAATCTCCAGTGTAAGTATGATCCCAATTTATGACAAATACTCATAAATGATTGATAACCATGCACTAAATCAAACCCGAGACGACATGACAGTTGACACCTATAAAGCAAAGGGAGAAAACATAAATCTTTGCGTGATTACGTAATTCAGCCCGTCCTACTGTGTGCCTTATGCGGCGACGCTCAGGACAAACTCCCACGTGATGCCGCACAAATTATCATCAACCGAAGAAACAGGGCAGGATGTCACGAACAACTAACTGGGTAAAACATTCCTGCTTAGCAAATTAGAAGTGTCATAAATGAAATCAGCTTAGATACCATGTTACCTAGACCAGTACACATCGTAACACTGCTCCGTTGCATGCTCTTTGTATGCTATTTCTGTGCCCTGAAAAACCATGCACGTTGCAGTCAATTAAATCAGCCTCGGCCAGTAAAAATGTGGGACCCTACCGAACAGTGGCGTAACTCTGGTGACGAGGGTGCAGCAGGGGAGAACTTGTTCCCCCGTGCCCCTCCCCTTTGAAATCTTCAAATTTGTGCCATCCACGAACATGCCGTAGCTCATCGGCTCCAGGTGCCCCCAGTGAAAAAATGTCTGCACCCCCGCACTCCCCTAGAAATTTTACACTATAGTTTACCCCACAGCTGCCGAACCCGACTGAACTTAATTGACAGCCCACTTCAGATACGGAAAACAAAGAATTACAGTTTCCAGACAGAGCATTATGCGCAAAAAAACTGAATGTAACTTCCTGTTGTGGGATGGTTAGATACTGTTGTGATTGCAAGCCTCTCTCCAACCTTGATGTACAGGATATCCACAGATGACTGGAAGTCCGTATATAGTGCAATCCTGCTGTGACGAACCGGCAGACGAGAGGTTGGCCAGTGGGTAGGTTGCTTACATTTCCCGTCAGCTGAAGCTCCAATATGGGCACAAGAGGTGCATAGAAAGGTTGGGGGTAAGGCACGTTCATGGAAGTCAAAGATTTGACAAGTAAACCACCACCTGCAGAGAATCCTGATTTTGGAGCGGGACGGACAATTTATAACTACTGATGATTGTTTATGACAAAGTAAAATTAAAAGCACATCTTATTCACATGCGCTTGAACAGTCCTTTTCAACAGCAAGAACCGGCTCCTTCTTCCCCATGTAGTGGAAGCCATTAAAATTTTTAATTTTACCAGATGATATTGCACAATCATATTGCGCCTTAATGCTGGAAGAAATAGACCACATGCACAAAATCCTTCCCACCGTTATTCAAAAGTCCCTTCCCTTGAGATTCAGAAATGGCACGACGTAAGAGGGCGGTACTCAATGCCGCGGAAACTTTGCTTTCTTTGGAGCACAGACGACTCCCCTCATGTATGCTTTTTTTTTAAAAATCTAATTGGGCATAGGTCTTTCGTTTATGGTAAAGGGTACCAGTCGGTAGTAGCAGGCTGGCAAATTTGCAAATTCCGGATGGAAACGGATATTTCTCTGTTGTTCCCCGTAATCTTTTTCCTTTTCTGTCGCTCGTTTCTTTTTCTTTTCTTTATATTTTAAAACGGGGTATTTTCATGTTTCCCCCAAAGAGCAAAGTTCCCCTTAGCCTCACAATATCACTGCTCAGTTATAATTATTAGGTCGTAACCTCAATTCTACCAAAGGCCCCACAAAACATCAGTTGTGAACCCAAGTCTTTTGTTAGAAGCCAAATAATCATCACTGCACATAAAGTTTGCACGACAATCTTGACAGGTACAATCAAATCCCTTCCCATTCGCGTTATGCCTACCGTGTAATGTCATAATGACACTTGTGTGGTGTCATTTCGTACATCATGAGCGATATATCTATTATCGCTCATGACCCACAAGCGTCGGGGCACTGGCGTAGGCGGCCAGCAGTTTCCTTGTGAAAATTTACGCGTTTCGCACGGTGCTTTTTGAGGAAGTGCCAATTCAACTTGAAACCAGGGTTGGTTCCAAGGTGCGTTTTTCACACCCTGTCGGTTTACGCTTAAATACAGAACAAAAACTTAGACTCGGGCATCCAAACTTTAGCTTTGAGAAACAGCCAACTTTGCGACGGCACACTGTGTTCCAAGCACATATCGGTACCTACAGAATTCAGAAAGGAAAACTTATCTTTTGAGCGAGACCTAGCCCAAGACTTACAGAATGGCAAATGTTGGGCAGTTTGTTCTGGAGTTAGTGGCGGTGCTGCTGGCATTCGTAATACAGGTATTACAGTATTACAGGTTTATGAAGGGGACTTTGAAAACACTGTGTTTCTCACCAAGACTAAGAAAGAGCTCAAACTTAAACTGATCCTAAAAGACATCACACTGCTCAAGCAGGGGAACTGGCCCATCGACATCGACGACCTCTGGCCAATGGGAGAAGAGGATGAGGACCAGGGGTCAGAGGACAACCAATCAGAAGCCACCACACTTGAGCCAACGACTATCACCGAGACCGTCACCGAAGGAGCCATAAAACAAGGGAGCCACGAGCGAAGCCACGACAGCATCGGGGAAGCCTACCACTAACGAACTGTCGACTGCCAGCGAGGTTGCCACCGAGGCGCCAACAACAGATGCCGGGCTTGCAACGACGGAAAACGCTACTGCTTCCGAGGGGCCACGGGCCGGAGAGGCAGCTACCGATGTGGGAATGAGCACAGAGCAGGCGGAGGTGACCGTGTCTTCTATGGCTCCAGACCGCGGTGACGAACCTAAACACAAGAAGCACTGGCTGCACGAAGCGGCTGGAAAGATCCTCAAGTTGTTCACGTGGCTACCTAAACATATCATTAAAAAGAAACTTCATACTTTCCACTAATTAATGTCTCGCCATCTTCTTGACCCAAACGAGGCAGACGAATTAATTATTCCCACCATCCTAAACATTGCCTAGGCCTATCGTGTTACACTACTTCTGTCAGTTTTACTTCTTTTAAATTAATGTACGTTAATGCTATCAAAGTGATCTTGACATTTTCTAAAATCATTTTAATTTCTGTTTCAATTACCAGAAAGCTAATTTATTGGACAATTTCGATTAAATGCTTGCACCTGACAAAGTATAAAAACACTTAAAAATAATTAAAATATGAAACATTTATTTAAAAAGGGAGTGTTGTTCAGTAGAAACTAAAATTGTATATTAAGACCAAAGTTCATTTACTTTTGACTGATTCGAGAACGCCTCGCAAATGATAATTGCAACAATGTTGCTTAGCTAGTGGCTAAGGCCAGCTACAAACGACGACTTTCTGCTGTCTAATACAAATTTTGGGTCATTAGGCACGGCGGAAGTTTGACGTTTTGAAGCGGGCCTAACTTCAACCAGCGACAGCTGTGTCAACCCACATTGGTCGAGTTTTCCTGGTACCTGACCGTACTGTGGCGGAATCCTCCCCTAGACTCGCCAGCGTCGTCCACCTGGGGCAGGCGACTTCCTTCGGGCGAACCTGGGAAGGGTACGTACCCTGAGTAGGGCCTCGGCCGTCCTACGAGCGGTCTAATAAGAAGGCAAGGGGAGCAGACTCGTTGCGGGGAAGTCTACCACCAGGCACCGGGGCACACTCTCATGCGCTCACACGCACACCACACACGAACAAAGGGGTTGGATACAACCAACTAACGGATCAAGCCAAAGGACTCTGGGACAGACCGATGTACTTATTATTAGACACGTAGGTGCTCCCTAATTAGGTGTCAGTTCTGCTTCTGGGCAACGAACAACTCAACAATGACCAACAGGGCAGATTCCTCCTTCTTGCCTCCACTTTAGGGTTCCACTCACCCTGGTACACGGCTCAGCTCGGCTTCACTCGGTGCAAACCTAGTCACCAGAGCACAAACGCGGAGGTTGGGCGCAAGAGGAGCAGGAAAGTACGGCGCAGCGTCGACAGGCGTGCAGCCCGAGAGAGCGCTGCGACAGAAGGGGCAGATCGCGCGCAAGCCACGCGCTTATATACCCGCGCCGGGTACCAACGCCCAACACAATAAGTGTGCGCAACACGACGAGCTTGAGCATGAGTACCAGCGTCCATAAACTTCCGTAATGGTTACAACTGTCCAATAATTAACTGTCCCGCAACAGTATTTTAGGCATAGGTTACCAGTCAAAAATGGACGTGTTGAAAAATTGGCCAACACTGTCAATGGTGTATAATTATGTATTCGATTGCCTTGTGCGAGTTTCCTCAACTGAAATTTTGGACTTTACTTTCCTTTGAAATATCCCCTCCAGATCTACGAATTAGGGAGAAAATGAATATTTGGGCAATAAAGTAAGATCCAGCTTAAAAAATACGACAATCATCAAAATTATTCGCGTCCAGATTTGAGTCAAGTCGTTATCCGAGGGGTGTTTTCGTGGTTCGACCTCCTTAACATTAACCCTCAACTCTTCCAGCCCACTCTGAAGAGACGGAGAAATCAAAATAAAGAAAAGGAACAGTACAAAACAAAAGCAAAGGCCACTCCGATGTGAATTTAATGGAACGCAAAAGCAAAACTGTCTTAAAATGACGAAAAACGTCGCATGCGAATAGCGCCACCTACTGTCCGACGGTTTCCAAGTCCACCGGACACATATTTGCCTTTATAATCGCTGGCAAGCATACAAAACTTCCAGCCAATGAATGACGCGAAACGGAACGATCTCAACCATGCAAAGCCCAAATTTAACCACAATCAAAGTTCTGATTTGAAGTTTGAATGTTATCCGCTTATTGCTCTTAGTTCACATTCGTACATTTGTTTCATCGATTGGATTTTAGGCAACAAAGAACAAATAGGCCTTTCGCGAGTTAAATTGGAATGAAATCTGGTACACAGAGTTCTTTAAAATCAGATAACAATAACATGACAATTGGAATTCTTCATACTGAAGCCACTGTTGCTATACCTCGTGATTCGGGGGCAAACTTTCCCTTAGTTACATAACAGACGCCTTATAACAATACACTGTTCTCAATAGGTAAGGGCACAAAGGAACCAGTCTATTCCAGAGATGGTGGTCGCTATGCAAAAGCTTGCCCCGAATCACGAGGTATGGCAACAGTGTCTTTAGTCTGGGGAATTCAAATTATGTGTATGTACAATCAGATAACTAAGTGTACCAGATTTTATTCAAATTTAAGTCGTAAATGGCTTATCAAAGTGTACCTCGAAAACTGCGTGCACTCCACTACTGTCACATCGTTAGAAACTCAAGTACTTTTTTGTCACATGGAATAATTCCATATAAAACTATTTTCATACACAGCAGCACAAAAGTTGATTCAAACAGGTGACAGAACTCATGATATGAGGTACACAGCACGTTTTTACTACCTTAGACCCTTCCTACTTTTAACCACAAAGGTACACATCACACAGAATTGTTGACATTTGCTGTACACGTTTATTTCATTTTCTCGGTAATAACATCCGCAGCAAGCAAGGTTGAAACAACTTTTTTTAAAACTGACAACATCTCATTGCCTTAATTTAAGATATTTTCATATCATTGCTAGGCAAACTAATTAATGAGAAGAGGCCAGAACTGGGGAATCTAACGGTTATCCTTGCGAATCAAGTCATAAAATGAGAGAAGTAACTTTACCCTGTAGCATGTTCCTTGGAGAAAAACGAGTTTAATTTCAAATACGCATAAACCTGGGAATAACGCTCAACACATCTTTTCCTGATGCAAACACTGATTACATAAACTTTCATCATTTTCGTTCTAATGTAATGAGAAATTCTTGTTTGTGAGAAATGCAACAGAAAATAATGTGAATCGCTTTTATGCTTTCTAAAACGTAAAGCCCGAACAATTCCCCGACATTTTTTTCATCAGTTGACAAACAGATCGATTCACTATGGCCAAGTTTGCCATTCTGGACAAGGAAAACATCAGTCTGAAAACTGGTTCTGTGACAAACCTGACAAATTTAGGCTCAGTACGAAGGGATTAATTTCAGGAATTGATGGGATCGGCATCAAGCTCAGAAATGGACATGGGGGGCCACGGTAGATGTTTTGGTCAACAAAGCTCTGGCAACATTTCATGCTGGGGCTTTTTTTTAACAGAACAATAGAGGCAGAGTTTTGCCAAGATTCCAGTAAATTGTCGGGTCAAACAAAACGGTGTAGAGGAACCACAGAAGTTTTTACCAAATCAAAAAACTGGAAGCATTCATGTTGAGCACTGTATCCAGAGACGTAAGCCCACTTTGTAAGTGAGGTGATCTAACTTTGTACTGTTTTGGATCAGTAAACAAATGAGGACCTAAGTTTTGGCCATGGTGATTACAGGGTGAGTGGGGCTGATGAGAAGTTGTGCAGGCAAAGACCAGAAAACACGACAACAGGAAAGGAAAAAAACAAGATCCTTGGAAGAAAATGGAAGGATTATTATCAAAGCACCAATTATATCTGATATTGAACCAAAATGACTTTACACTGAAAAAGGAACATGTTGAACATTTTGCTGGTTCTTAAACAAAATATTAATTAGACGCTTGTGGATGTTTTTGGATGCATGCTGCACATATAGCTGTGATGGTAAAACTTCAAAGATCTTCAAATTCTGAATTAAATCTCAGACAAAAATGGGGCAAGAATTTCTTACTGTTGAATTGTTAAGACCAGACCTTTTTCCCCACAGAAATGTATTTCAGTGTCTGTTCCATTAAAAAAACACATGAAATAAATAAAAACCTAAATGCCATGTTGCAAAAGGTGCTCTTTTGATTTCTCTATTTTGGAAAAAAAGCCACGTTTTGACCTGGGAATTTATGAAATTGCCAAGCAAATGTCCTCGGATAAACACTATCCAGCAAAAACTCTAATCCATAGCCACAATTTTACGAACAGTTCACTGTAAAGTTTTTACAGCAAGAACCAATTTTGTGACCAAAGAACACAAACAATTACTACCATAAATATACCTCAATAGGGTGACTTTTGTTTTTTACTTTAACGTTGTTTAGAAGACAACAAGTTGTGTTAACCTGGTGAGAGGGACCTCTCTGAATCTCATCACCTGACACTAGAAACGAGCCATGTGACGCAGCTTCCAACCAACTGATTGGCTGTTTGTTAAGTCACATGACGAGCACTTTGGTAGCTGATTGGCTAAAGGCGTGTGAGCTGCTGCCAGAGGCTTGCAGGCACAATACTCTCAATCTTCTCCAGCAGGAAGCTGAAAGGAGCCGACAGTGAAGACAGGAACTGCGAACAAAAACAGCCGCACAAATAATTATTTAAAAATGAAAATTATTCCAAGCTGTTCCGTTAAATCGTGTTTCCTTGTAAAATGACCACCCTTGAGGATAATGCAAAATACTGGCCTTTCTGGTGTGTCAAATGCTATATTGTCGGACAATGCGGGCGATCCACTATCAAGTGTGCCACCAGGAGGTGACAACAGAAAGGCCATTTTTTGAAGAGTGCATTGTGGGAAATGGTTGACAAATGGTACTCCTGGCTGCGTATGGGGAACTTGGCATTATTTCCAATGTTTATTTGTTAGGGAAAATAAATCATTAAGCTTATTTCAAGTAGCAGCGTTAAGTAATCCTTTCTACTTTCTATTGCGTAGAATGTGCCAATCTATCAAACGTTTCCCCAAACTGTCAACTGACACATGCTCAAATGGAAGGACAGGCAGTAAAGCTTTGATCCACCGTAAACCTGAAACATGGCATCTCCATGGCAACATCTTGGTGGAGCAGTGCATTGTGAATCCTTTCTATTTAACTCCTGAGAGAAAAACTGGAACTAGCTCAAATTAGTTTTTGCTTCACTTTATGTTACAAGGGATGAGACATTTGGAGCCAAGCAAAACAGAACGCTGTGTAGCTTTTAGTGCAAGTTCACTCCAAAAGGACAGCAATGACAAGCCAGTAGCAGAAACCTCGCAAAGAGCTCAGTGCCATCACTGTCAATTAACCAAGATTTGTAACAATTTATTTAGTTGGTCGATTTTTGTACGGCTAAAGTGGTCCACCTCCACCTTGTAAGGTTCCAGGAGCAACCCTCAGCAACTGTGAATGGTAGCCATCTTGCAGGGCAGCTCTTTTGTTCCACAGGGAAACCTCCTTTGTGCATACCCCGTGCAACAAAGGCACTGTCCTGCAAGATGGCAGCCATGCAAACCCTCTATAGTTTGACTTACCGCTTTAGCGATAACTCCCATCGGTTCAGGAAACTGGTGAGTTAGCAGGGCCAGCAGCGCGGTGAACGTGCAGAGGCCGGCTGTGAACAGGATGAAGAAGGGGAGTTCTTTCTTTGGGTAGACTGACACCTCGTGGAAGGCTGGTGGGGAACATGGAATATGGAGGGAAAAAAAGGATGGAAAGTCAATTGTTGGCTGTGAAGCCAATAAGATTCACATGTATTCTGGTACTATCCAAGTTTCACAGTACCAGTCTAAATCGACCCCAGATTTCTCACCAAAAAATGTCTTTGGAATACTCAAAACTTGATAAATTGTGGCAAAGAACTGCTTATATACAAAACTTAGGTTCTGAAGGATTACAAAGAATAAAGTGGTTGACATTCAGAAAGATGGATGTCAAAATCATCAAGGTTTTTACATTTTAGAACTTGCTATCAATTTTTCATGCACTTGTTGTAACTGTTAGCTGTAATTCAAGAACATTCTAAAGAACCTGAAATCTATTTTACTAATTCAATTACAGTTCAAAGTTTCTGAGGCTTGTGCACTGCCTAACTACAGGGATCAACTGCTCCAGAAGTGCTATTACAAAATCAGAATTGGTTTCCTTCCACTCCAGCCAGGCTGGGTGTGAATTTCAATAAATTGGATACGCTCAGGGATAACAAGAGACAATTTACAGGGTAGGAGCTCCCTGTCGACGCTTTCCGTGCAGCTGGGGTAAGGGTAGAACAGGTGGCCCTTCTCCAGCGGGCTGGGGATCATCCGGAACGTGCCCTCCCACGTGCAGTGGAGCAGCTGCAGGGCGCCGTCCACCCGCTTCCAGTGGGGGAGGTGGAAGAAGGTGTAGGCAATGGCCTCGCTGTCTCCCCGCTTCAGGATGTGCTCCGGAGGCAGGATGAAGCTCTTGAGCTCCAGCAGATACTGGGAGGAGAAGTGGGCAAGAGTTGTGGGATGACGAGATATCCACCGAACATCCGGTAGAGAAGGTTGGGACAATGACAACAATAAAGTACTATCACTTTTGGGGTCTATTCAAGATTCAAGATTTCTGATGCTTTTAATTTGAATCTGCTTGCAACAAGCCTCCATAATGCAATTTTTATCATTTACAACAACAGAAAATTTTCCCTTCCTTTTCATGAATTTTGTATTCAAATATTCAAATTCGAAAAATAATATTTGAATATTCGACAATCGATCAAATATTCGGTTATGCGGATATTCGGCACAGCCCTAGTGAGGGAAGCACAACCGAACCGATAACCCAACGTGTACGAGGGAACCAAGGATCCTACAAATTCAAATTTCTAGACTTGCTTTACCTTTGGTACATGGGGGTTGAACTCCACGGCTCTGTGAATGGCTTCAACGGCATTCATTTCAGCTGTGGTTAGGCCCCGCTTGGAAGCAACCTCAGGAGAAAATCTGCACAGTGGGAACATTTCTTCGGTTGTTACGTGTTGATTTTACGGCTATCTTTACACTGCAAATTTTCCTGGAGACTTATCCAGTGATCAGATTTTGAACCCATAACTGGGGTGGCGTCACTCTCAGGCAGTACGTGAGGGTACGTGAGGGTGCATTAAATGCCTCATCGACAACTAAGGAATGCCTAAGGTCTAAGAACACGTCAATAAGTGTGGTCCAATCAATCTATCTGCAGAAGAACATAAGGGAGATGTTGGTGGCACTGACAATCCCCAACACTGGCTGTGTGTGTTCCACACATGGCCTGGAAAATCTTCACAAACTCCACAACACTGAAATCACAGAAACAACGCCCTTAGTTGTCGAGGAAAGAACAGACATTTCCAAAATGTTTTAAAAAGTACATTTTTCAATACAGTTCACCTGAAAGGGACGTCAAAAAGTATTCATAACAGAGGAAGAGAACAAAATTGCAGAAACTTTGTGTCAAAAAAAATATTCATTGCTGCTACCCTTTGAAAACACGTACGTCACGGAAGGTAACCACCTATGAGCTGACAGAAAAAAAATTCAGAAATCAGGAAAAATCCTGACAAATCTCACCCCTGCAGTACAAAATGAGCAATGATAAAAATGATGGTTGAGAATTCTGTGGCTAGCAGACGTGTGAAGTCCAACCTGGACCCAATTTCATGGCACTGCTTTACAATCAACAGAAAAGTCATGCTTACTGCAGCATGATATTTTGCTAACCATAGGCACTCTTCCATGGAAGTGCTCGGTGTGGTTGGGCTAACGGTCATGTGCGCAGAGAGATTTCCACTGTTGCATCGTTAAGTTAAGCAAAGTTTTCTGCCGAGGGTAGCGTGCCTTCTGCTGCGCTTGCTGCTTACGATCTCTGTGAAATACACGGTGCCCCTGTCAGCATCAAATCTTGAGCTCAGCAGCACCATGAAATTGGGCCCTGGACAATTTAGCGAGTACAAACGAAATCCATCCTCGACTCAACTCACTTGTCACAGACCGCCCTGGCCTTGAGCAAGGCGGCCGTGTAGCAGATGGTGGCAGACTTGGGCAAGCTGATGTCATCATACTTGGCCAGCAGTGCCTGCACGTCTGCATAGTACTGCATCTCCAGGAGAGCCTCAATCAGGTTCTCGTGGATTTGGAACATGCTTACGACCGGGAACTCTTTGATAAGCTGAAACAAGAAATCAATCAGACGAAAAAATAAACTACTGGGCATTTGAGTTCGAGTCTGGAGCAACAAGAATGGTACACATGCACAAAATGCTGTATGTAAAGGTGGGGAAAGCCGTTCAATGTTCAAGCACTCTAAAAAATCCACACTCTTAAGGCACACGAGTAGTTTTCTTGGAAAATCAAATAAATCCCACAAAATCCACCACCGTGTGGGAAATCAGTGATGGAATTTAATGGATCCGGGAGTGTTCTGGTACTGTAAGAGCTGTATGTTTTGTGTGATCACTGTTTTCACATTTAACTGAACAAGTACAAGTAATCTTTGTGTCAGAAATCAAGTTAACACTGTGAACATTCCAATCACTTCATTAATACTGGAAAGACTGAGGTCTCGGGGCAAGTAGGTTGCATTATTTTTCACAATCAGTTCAAGATGCAGTTCCACTTTTTTTTCGAAAAATCCAATTATGTAAAGTAAGTTGAAATGCATCAACTTACATCACGCATTATCTTGACCGCTTCTTTTGTGCGACCAAGCTTGCGCATACACATTGCAAGACGACGCTTGTTGTAGACTAAGATGTTCAAATCTCTCCCTGAGTAAGATAAAAACAGGTAATCAATTCCAAATTTACTGAAGAAAATCCATGCTGAACAAGAATTTTTATGGAATTTTTCCATTTATTTCTGGAACGATAGGGAAAAGTCAAGTGCCTTGTTGATGGGGAAAGAGATTTTAGTTTTTAGGAAAAAAACTTTCAGGAACAGTGAGTTAAAGTAAAACCTGCCCATTCAGCTGGACAGTGAAAGTTTGCACCGCCAGGAACCAGGGATGCTTCAAGGTGAGACAAGAAACACTACACCATAATGTCTTCATGATGATACCTTTCAAATTCTTTCCTCATACAAGTGTAGTGTCTCCATGGCAACTGCTATCAATGCAAAGCATTTTCTGTTCATATACACTAACCCTTGACTTTGCATTACTTGCTGACGTGAATGGTTTGGCTGTATGGGGCATGTAAGTAGCATGCCAGAGCAAGTCAACCTTGAAATTTTTTTTTTAAATAACATGTTTAACTGTTCGTACAATGAATTTCCAACACCTGCTTCAAATATTTTTTTCTTTTTAAATGGGGTTTTAAGATTTTGCAAGCAAACAATTTGTGGAGAACTAAAGCAAACCCTTTCAGTTTCTTTAAAAGATTCTTTTTGGAGAAGGTTGAGCATTGATAGGGAAATCCACGGACTAAATCCAAAATAACTCCCAAACCAAACCACACTGTATGTTCGGGTTTCTCTGTTATCTCTCATGTTATCAATGGAATTCAGAAGATTCACTCACGGTGTATTTTCTCGTGCGTAGGGCTGTGGTGCTGCAGTTGTTGACTGCGCTTGAAGTTACAGTCAGCTGATTTGAGCGCCTGTCGAAACAGTCGCTCGGCCTCAGCTATTGTCGTGCACTCCTCCTCCGCCAGGAGAATCAAGCAGCTGCACAACTGGCGAAGAGAATTGAGCGGGATTGATTAAAATGGAATAATTTCAAATACCGATACACGTATGGTGTAGTGTCATAGAGCCAGACGTGTCTCAAGGAGATGTCATTTTATACCATCAGTGTGGGAACAGATCGACAACCAGCCATTCCATCTGCATAAGAACTCAGTAATTGTATGATTTTGGATTTCCACAACTAACAACAGTATAACCGGGTCACACAAAATGGGCCTTAATGCCCTTCTTTTACTAATTTGTACTTCTTGCTAGAAAGAGTAAACTGTAAACATCTTTGTTTAGATGAATTTCTCAGTTTGGTATCCTGATAAAATTGGACACACTATGAGAACAGTTCCCACTTAATCAAAATACTGCACGATTCCTTTCAAGTTCCTCATCTTAAAGTGGTTCTGGTGACTTCAGAGTTTTTGTACTCAGCAAATAAACAAGAAAGAAGAGGCGATTAGCAAACAAGATAATATAGCCAAGATGTTAACAGTGAACAGAAAACGTGGTCTCTTTAAGAAAAATGCTTGATGGTGTGCTGTGCTCCAAACTCTTGCTAGTTTGGATTGACAACTTAGGTATGATGTAAATGTAAAGTCAAACACACGTTATACACGTACATGTGGCATACAGTGACGGCAGATAATGGTCACCTGCCAATGCTCGTATTTTTTCACTACAGGTACATGTACGTGTACATCTCCAAGTAAAATATGTACTCATCAAAATGCAACACAGTTTCTGTGCACCTGTTTTCCTCTACAGAATACTAAAGTATGCCATAAAAATACTCTTAGAGCCAAAATTAAAACATGCACAGCAGGCTGCTTGGCAATTTGGGGGAGAGCAAACAGTTCACTGTGACTGACAGCCAACATTAGGCTTGTTAGGCTTTCTGCCTTTCTTTGGTTTTTATTTCATTACAGGTTTGGGGGTTTTATTTGAGTTTTGTCTTACTTCAGTGGCAGCCTGTTCAAAGACTGACAAGTTCACCGTAATTGTTACAAGGAAACTTTGAAAACAAATACCAATACTGATGTTAAACATATCCACATAATGCTAGTGAAACCTAACATGTACATGTACGCACAAATACTGCATGCATGTAATGTACACTTCCTCTGGTGGCCTACATGTACATGTACATGCAATAAAGTGCTATAACCTACAAGTACAGTAAGTGTAACCTAATCTGACTTCTGACTCCAGAAATCAAAGCGGACAGGTTTAATAAGAACACTGCTGCAAGCAAGCTACCGTTAAGCTTTTCAGAACGTCAGGCTAGAGAATGTGCGTTTTATAGATCTAACACTGCCTTCTCGTCTCGTCGATCATTTATGGTATATTATAATCCGAACGACTGTTGACATTCTCCTCATACTAAGGCAACAGCACCAAATGACCCCCTGGCACAAATCTGCTGCATCCAATTTCTCAAGCAGTACGCCGCGTCTCTCTGCAAGTCTGAACATGAACTCCAATACTACACAGGAATCTGTCCCTCCCTCATCCAGGCCATTTCTAAAGCACCAGTTTAAAATTGTAAAAACTATCCTGTCTTCATAAAATGAATGCGCTGTCTTGTAACACAGATGAAAAGCGAACTTTCCACTGTGAAATGAATTAAAAACACCGAGTGACTCCGAAAGCATTCAATTAAACCTACCACCACCCGATAACCCAATTTCATTTCAATTTCTTGCATCGACAAAAATTTTCCCATCGGGACAAATTTTGGAGGGTAAACAAACCGACCCACACCGTCAGAGGGAAGGGCTGGCATTACAACAAGCAGCTTGCTGGTCACAGACACTTACTCCGGGGATTTCTCCAGGGCTTCGTGGGCTGCTTTGATTCGGTTCTGTGGGTTTCGCTCTCGCCAAGCTCGAAGCATCACTGAAACAAAAAAGGAAAAAAGATGCATGATCGTTTCAAGTGCGCAAGGGTGACCAACCCACTTTGGAATAGCAAATTTTTATGATTTTACTCTAAAACACAACAACCAGGATACCTGTCATGCCTATGCATAATTTATGGATATATTGAGTCTACCGTTCATGTAGTTAACAAAACTGGTGTCAGTATCAAAACTGACGATTCTCAACCAAAATGTTCAAGCCTGCCAGCGATAATTTCTTATTTCATTTTGAGCATTACTCCTCCCGGCCCTTTTTACAACTCAGGATGCCTCTAGGTTTCACAAATTTCACATCATAAATATCCCTCATAAATGATAATAATGCCAGTTCAAACACACACACATACATGTACACTACAGTCCAACGGTCCCACCAGAACCTTCGTACTTTGCCCAGCGGGTCTTCCAGGATTTTTTACTCGGGATTGAGAGAGGTAGGGCAGCCACTTATTACCGGTATACTGCGCATCTTGTAAATGTATGGATCTCTATGCTCCTTGAAGGTTCTTCAAGTACAAACAATGTACACGTACATGTACATGGAAGTTTCTACGCACCGGTGGATGTTGGAGGATTTGGTGAGGTCCTCTAAAAAAAACTTGCAATTTAGGGTTTACCTAAAACAGGATCAAGAAGTACAGTACAACTAGGCCAATGAGCACATGTATGGGTCTAAGTGTACATTCTGTTTGGTTTTCAACAAAACACTATACAGTATTGTTTTCTGCCGTCTGTATTCTGGACAGGTGCATAGATTTTAACATTTCAGAGTACTGCACTGAAACCTGTGACACTGTGATCTTTGGGTGGTACCATCAGCATTACAACATGAATATGATGAAGTCCTAAATGTGCTCTTGGATACACACCCACATGTATGTACAGGTACATGTACACCAGCTCCCGCACCGTCGTTGTGGGGACATACACTTGACATTTCACCTATTTTGTGGGGACCAAAAATGTTGTGGGGACTCAGAAATGTCCCCACAACTCGCTTCAAATTTCCCTAACAAAAGAACTTGTCCCCTTAACGCAGTGAATGCCTACCCACTACTGTGCATAATCATGTGCAAGTACAACGTAATTGGATTTTAAATCACTGCAAATCAAGTGCCTCAGCATACATATGTACATGTAGCCTGATCGACAGCTGTCTCTGTTTCAGCAGTTCAGTGTTTTGAAGCACAATGTTTTGAGGTTGTAATTTATCAAAAATCACACTCTGTGAGTAATTTTGATGCCTTCCACAGCACTACATTTCTGACATCTCTCTGTGTGATTCATGCTCATTTCCATTGTAGCCACAATATTATTAATATACCTGTACAGTGTGTCTCTGATACCAGATAACACCAGATTTTTTCAGGAATTTTATTGGGGGGTACCCTTTTGCTCTATGTTTTCAGTACCAGCAGCTTTTAAATCATATTGGCAATACTTTAATTATAGTTACAGGTACATGTATCTCTTTCCTTTCAGCAAACCTTCTAATGTCTGCCATTCTGTCACACTGTCCCATACATTTGCATTATTACATATGCATGTAAGCACAATTAAAATTACCACAGGATTTTCAACATGAATCCACCTCATCATATTTCTATGATGCCACGCAGCAATGGTTTTGATCCTAACCAGCTCCATCCTCCAAAATCCTTCGGAGGGGGGGATTTTTGGATGACTAAAGCTGAAAGGCAAAGAGGTGTGACTGATTGCCAAAAATGCATTGTTTTGAACATGACATTTCTATGATGTCCATACAGCATGCAATCTTGAGTAACTGTCTGATGTTCGGCCATTATTATGTTGGAGTTGGTTTAATGCAGATCACGAGGTACACTGTCACGGCGTCTTGCTAAAAATCATACAGGAAATTAATGCCACACCGGGGAAGAGATCAGGTGAGGAAAAATAACCCACACAAGGTGCAGCATAGGGGTTGTAACAAAGTGCCAATGCCAATAGGATAATGTGACTTTCCACGGCTATTTACAGCCGACAAGGGATGAATTCTCGACAAGGGAGGAATTCTCTTTCTCAACAGAATCTCAACCCTTTTTTTCTCTTTTTTTGTTTTTTTCTGGTTTTTGTCCTAAATCCTCCGAAACCCTCTGGGTAGATTTGGAAGAATGGTGTATGAGTGGCCGATTGCGAAGGATGCAGTGTGTCCAGGTTTTGGGTTAGACCTTGTGTTGTTTCTGCTTAGCCATGCACAAATTCATGCCTACATGTGAAGTATACGTGTATAATAAAGTATGTGATTTCCTCCCTACTACTCCAGGAGACCATCTGCACTGCCTCAAGAGGATTTGAAGGATTGAGAAGAGTGCCTGGCACACAGGCTTAAGGGCCAGGGTTAAACCTCTAAAAATCCACAATTTTGTGGTCAAAATCCTTGGTGCTGTTATACACAAATGATCCACAACAGACTGTACTAAGCACTGTAAATTTCTACTGTCTTCGATCTAGCAAAATCCTCTGCAAACTCTTTGTACAGATAGATTCTAGGAATGATTTTGGCAGATTAGCACAAAGCATATGGTAATCGCGCACCATTACACGTAAAGGTTTAGCCCTACTTGTGTACGGTGGAACACGTATGGTATCACAACCTGTCTTTTACCAAATTCTATAAACCTATTTTTCTAATGGATGAATTTGAAAATGATCTTTATGCATCGGGTACATGTAGAGTACACGAAACTAGTACTCTACATACTGGTCCATTGTACACGTATACATGTAGGTACTGTACAAAAAGTCCATGTGGTACTGTGTGTCCATGCACATACATGTACATGTATATACCAGTGAATGTACATGTACATTGCATTAACTGCTGGTACCCTGTATGGATGCGCTTTTTTCCCATTTGAACCGTACACGTACCGTATTAACGGAGCTCTGGGTTCAAAGTGAATCCAAAAGCAAAACCAAACTCATGAAAAATTGGACACTCCAGCAAATGTTGCGGTGGATGTTTCATGGCGTCGAGCTTCCTTTCACATCCACATTTGCAGGAACTACATGGACGAGCCTGCATTTCATGCAAGTCTGCTAAATTAAAATTCACATCCGGAACGCCGCTTCTCATGATAACAGTGCACTGGATTGATTATACAGTCTCTAAATTGACAATTTGGGATACATGGATATACATGTGTGCATATATACGGTGTGACAAGGCCTATTTCGTTTTACGGCTTGAAGTCTTCCTTAAATGGTTCCTGTCTCAAACGAATGACTAATCAGATGGGGTCCATCAACGTCTACAAATGGTGGGTGACGCGAGGTACATGTACCGAGGCTTCAGACTGTCTGGTCTGTAAAGATGGTCTATTAAGATGTCAGTGTGCCTTCAAACATCAACTAAGCCAACCACTGCCTGCATGACGGTAATTCTATACCCACCAAACATGCTAATGGACTACGGCTCACATTGGCCCTGATTTGTCCGACAAAATAACTCGCTAAAATAAGCGAAGCCTGAGCAACCTTGGCAGCGATTCTGTGCAACTCAGTCATGATACAAAATATTGAAAATAAAAGTTTGAAAAATCAGTCCTGAGAGCAGGGTACTAAAGGGATTTAAGGTTTAAGGATGGAAAGGGAGTAACCTTTTGACGGTGATATAAACACGCCCGGAGAAATAAAACGGTTCTGAAAACATGAACATAAACACTTTGCCTGTACTGCACTGGGAGATTAGTAGTTAATCATTTGTCTGAAAGAAATAAAGAAGACAAGGGCATGTTCACTGCAATACTTCCAAGACTCCAAGAACAAGGAAACAAGGAGAGTCTCATAGGAACTTCTACATAGCCACATTTTCAATTAAATGCTTTGTAAATGTGCATAAATACATGTACATTTAGAGTTTTAATGCCCCTTGCATATACAAGCAGGCCTCGACATTAACGGTTGCTCAACTGCCTGGGACAAGTAATTTGTTCTTTCGGGCAAGTAAAAATCAAGGCCAAATTGCCCGATGGAAAGGCACTTTTCTCTTTCCTCTTCAAAAAAGCTTACAAGAAGTGGTAAAATACAGCTACGTGGCGTAAAACGACTTTCTGCACCGTTAGATGCATGGATGTACTGTATGAATTTGTGTGTATTATTTAAGCAGGGCACCTTTCCACTTGAGGGAAAATGCGTACACAAATAAACTGTAAAATATCCTTGTGTCTGGGTACCAAACCTCATTGGTTATTGCATGCGTGGCGCAGCGGAGCTTTGATGTCCGGAAGCTCGAAGACTGTTTGACAAGTGGCCGTGACATCAATATTAGTAAATTTGCCTGGTACTTGTGTACTTTTTACACCAGGCAAAATCGTCGAGTGGTTGAGAAATAGCAATTGCCCAAACTTGTATGAATGAGGCATCAGAGTCCTGCGCACTCCCTGCATACATGCAATAGTTGAGGGTGATGTATATTCATGTCGTATTGTGGGGTACAATTTCATCAATGGTGATTGGTTGAAGGAACTAACTTACTTTCCCGGGAAGCAATGAGGAACTAAACCAGGGTTTGGGCAAGTAAAATCTTACCTTGGGCAGGTAAATTTTCATTGCTACTTGCCCGATGAACAAGTAGTTACAAAATTAAATGTTAAGACCTGCTTACAAGAGATCTTCTTTGAGTTTAACCAAGGACCGACAATTTGTGATACAGAGGAAACACGTACGGTACATTCCGAGGTGAAAGTTGCAGCAACACTTGAGATCAGCAACGCACTGTGATGAACATTCTCCATCAAAAGAGAAATTAAACATTACGTACCTTCGTCCGCTGGCCTCTTGGAATCCGAATCGCAGGTAAATAACGTCTGGTGATCCTGTGCCGATTGGTTCATATCGTAGTACGTCAGTGGATCTTTCCCTGTGACCCAAGTGTAGCGGTTATATTCCGAACCCCGAAATAAATTCAGGGGATTTCGCCAAGTCTTGCATTCTGGAGGGGGGAGGTGAAATAGAGTAAAAGCTAATCAACTGCTGATGGAAATAAGGGAAGGATGTCCCATCTTCACTCAGTGCTTTTCCATTAAAGGTAAAGTTGTTTACAGGCAGAGTTGTATAACAGACCACTCTCTTTCTGTGTCATAGTCATATTTTTATACCTACACGTACACGTAAGCCAGTAGCTGGTTAAGTACTATTGGCCATGAAAACAAAAGTAAGAGAACAAACCGTAAGCAAGGCTCGAAATTAACGGGCGAAGGTAGCTAAAATGCACCCGTTTGTCTCAGAAAGGCGCCCGTAAATCATAAAGACGGGCGTAAGTGCTTACGCCTGTTTGATTCCGTTATTGTGACGAAAAATACATGAACCTGAACATTTTTACCGTTTGTTTCTACTTTTGTCACGAAAAATACATGAAGTTTTGACTTCACTTCGGATCAGCCTTGTCACGGAACCATAACACAGTACAATTTTTTTACAATGTCACCAAGTGCACGCCGCAGTCTTGCATGCGATGCATGCACATGCATGAACGTACACACGTGTCTGAATTGATATGCCAGGAATTTACACACGATTGTTTGGGAACTGACCGCGACCACAACCTCCTAGACTTGTGTGTAAATTCAAGCCAAACAAGTGGATTTGGCTTAGACTTCAGTTTCACTGGTTCCAGTCATAGTGTGAACATGTGGTTTTGAACACTGCCCCAAAATAGCTGGAACCAGCAAAACCAAAGTCTCAGCTGACTCCAATCATTTCGAAAATGCTCGATTGCTGCAGTTTAACCCTTTTACGTGTGTGTGCATATGCACATTATAAAGGCCCAGTGCCCGACTGTTGGCATTGCGTCGCTAAGCACAAAAGCAACGGCGAGGACCAGGGTCTTTGCTTTTTTTTCTTGAACAGACATGCATGTCTTTAATATTGTACGGGAGCTACATGTACTTGCTCCCGTAAACTAACAAATTCAGCCGTCTACGGAGCAAGTACTTCTGTGATGATTAGCCCAATTTTGAGCCCTGACTAGTGTTAAAAAATCATACAAGGTTATCGAGACATCAAATTATAAATGTTGCTTGATGTCATCTGAAAATACAGCCCTTTTTTTAACAGTAATGGGGCAAAACTTTTGATGTACATTAATGAGGGAAAAAAACCTGTCACTAAATAAGGGGTGACGTTTCTGCTAACTTTGGCAGCCAGTGCAAAGAGTACATTTAAGCAACATTATGACTGACTGTTGACACTTTTTTATATGTACTGGTAGGCGTTGATTCAAATCAGATTGCACAACTCCGTGCAAACTCAACGTTTACAATCAAATGCAAGGGCAAAACACTGGCAATTTTAATTCGTCCAAAAAACCCATTCTCGTGTCACAAATCCAGAAAATGGCTGATAAGGCCTGGAATTTTTTATTTATTAGATTACAAAAAAATATGAAATTTTGAAGGGGCGGTGGACAGAAAAAAATATTTAGAAAAAAAAGAATTCCATTTTTTTCCCCTACACTTAACTTACATGTATCTAGGGTCAGAGCCAAAAAAAACATTGAATTTGGCCATATTTGGTGTGAATATGTTTTTCTGTTCAAATTATAAACCAGAATTTAGTCACTGAAAAAATTTCTGCGAACTTCTGAGAAGGGTTGCTTGCGTGGTTGTTGTATTGTACATGTGTACAGCAAGAACTCACAAAAAAGGACAAAACTTAGGCTCTAAAAAAATGAGTTTTTGTGCACAAATCAATGTACTGGTCACTTGCTCATGAATACGACAGATAGAGCATACATGTACTGTTCGAAACGTTATTTACCATCGGCTCTTTGCAGAAACGCTCAAAGCGATATATCCAGGGCGCTTTTGCAAACTTATCTACATGTACTTTACGAAAATAACCATTAGCATATTAACCAAAATACTAGCAAAATACCCTTTTTAATAGTGTAATAAAAAGGTGCATTTCGAATGTTTGAATCTTTAAAAAAAATCCACTGCAGAAACCCTCTTATAACCACAAATGGCCGGTAATTTTGTGTAGTATCTTGCAAAATCAATGCTTCCAACATGACTGGGGGCACTACTCACGTCTGACTTTGGTCCACCAATAGACCACTACCATTCCGGCTGCCTCTTACCTGGCGGAGACTGCTGATTGGTATTACCATTCCCGCTGTTGTCCGATCCTCCTAGCCAGGGCGACAGGTGGTTCAAGGAGACCTGCTCGATGAACGACGTGCCATACTTGCGGAAGTACCACCACTCAAAGATCTTGACAAAAGAAAAAGATATCACTTAGTCAGTTGTTCCTCGCTTCAATCACACTAAATTTTGTATCAAACTGGAGACCAACGCAGGCTTTATTATTAAAAGTTCACTCTTTTAGGTCAGTTTACACTTGGCACGAAATCGAACACAAACAGGATTTTTGGACATCCAAATCAATACTCTCACTGTGAATTTGCAAAAGGGGAACGCATTTAAATTCAAGCGAATTTTTTTATAAATGTTTTGTGACGTGAATTCACTTTGCTTTCGCATTTGCATGAAGCACGGTCCAGCTTTGGACTCATGTCAACTTTCTTTTTTAAAACTGACCACACAATAGGGCTGTACAACGACATCTGTTACCTGAGTGCTTGACCAATACTGTCAGGTGAGGGTTTGAATCATGCAACCGACTAGCCATGACTGATGCCATAACCACCCACTAAAGCTTACATGTACACGTACCAAGTAACCTTTCAAAGTGAAAAAAAGATTCAGCATCCTGAAAGGTATTTGTGTGGAAATTTTAAACACAAACCAGGCTACACTGTGCATGAAATGCTAAAACAGATTTCACGGTTTATGCCCCAAGGTTACTAATGAGCATTTCGGTAAAGAACTGGCAATTTGAATCCACTTTCATGTTTGCTTTTTTCTGCTCGAATTTTGGGGTAAGGATAAGGATTAGTTTGCAGTTACCCAGGTAACTGCCTTATTAGGGTACTTAGTTCACTAGCCCTAAACAAGGTACAATTGAGGTGCTTTTTGGCAAAAACACAAAACCAAACTAACTACACAGTGCAACAACAGCAACAACTCGAGGAATTGCCACATTTTGATTGTCCACAGCATGGTTACAACAAATCATTTACCCCTCAGAAACCTTCAGGCATTTCTTCTTTACCACCACTCAAAATACTTACCAAGATGAGTCCCGAAATAAGTGAGGAGGTTCCCGTCAAAGCCACATAAAACTTTGGAGTCAAAGTGTTGAGAAACATAGCCACTGCAAAATGCAAAGAAAAGACAAAGAAACAGAAAAAAAATGAAAAGAAAAAGATTTCAAAATCAGTTTTTAGGTTTCAAAACGTACGCGTCAACCTACCGATCCCACGAAACTGGGTACAAATTTGGAGGCAGGTACATGCAAGCCCAGCTATCGTATTACTAAATAGGGCTTTGATATCTGCTCAAAGTTATGGGGGTGGGGTGAGGGGGGGTCACTGTTTTCGTGCACGGCATTTGAAAGACCCGGGCACCTGGATTTGGCCAAAAAATCCACTGAGTTTGGTAGGGGGAAAGTGTGCTTGGACCTCAATAAATTCCACTGAGCACATGATTTAGTTTTAAGGCCAATTTATTCAACTGAATGTACAATACATGTTGCTTTTTAGCATTAATTTCTTTAACAACTTTGTCAAAACTGCATCAGTAATTACTGGTAATGTTTAACATGCACATGTGTGTGTAGGCTTTGCTTTCTGCAAAGATGCTAAATATCAACCTTGTTTCAATA